ATTATAGTCTGGTATGGAAAATGCTCTGCCTTGGACCGGAAAACTCTGCAGAGGGTGGTGAAAACTGCCCAGCGCATCACCGGTTTACCTCTCCCCACAAAAGCAGCCATTTTGACATGAAACAGTAGGGTAAACACAGGTGTTACTAGTGATACTAATTAAGATTCTGTTCGATTCAGGTCAAACAGTCTGTCAAAGGAGTGCTGCTATTGTGCATGTCGGCTCCCTGGAAAGGCTCTGCTACACTAAATGGAACAGAGCCTTAATTAGTATCATTGTTTAAACTATTATTTCATGTCAAAATGGCTGCTGTGAAAAAGGTCTACTGAGGTTGTCCAACGCGCAGCATTGTTAGGGACACCTCCCACCCCAGACACAGACTGTTTGCCCTCCTCCCCTCTGGGAGACGCTACAGGTCTCTCTGTTCCCGAACCAGCAGGCTCAGGAACAGCTTTTTCCCATCAGCTGTCACCCTGCTAAACTCTGCACCGAGGTGACCCCGTTCCCCCTAAATGACTAAACTCCCACTCTACCCCACCTTCCATGGACTCAACTGTTTTTTTTCTTCCAATATTCTCCACCACTGACCTCCTCTCCACTATACTGCCACACTACTACACACTACTGCAAACTTACCTGTACTATTAAAGTCCCCACACCCTAACACTTATTTATACTGTCATACTGTATATATCTGTATTCACTTGCCTCTGTCTATACTGTACATATCTACCTATAGTGTATTCATATCTAGCTGTTTACTCTGTATATAATGTCAACCAATTGTATTACTTGTACCTACATCCACACCATATAATTACTGCTAATACTGTTCATACTGTAAATATCTTACTAGCATATTTATATATATATCTATAATGTTATTTTTTTATATCCCGGTACATATGTACAATACTCTGCACTTTACTGGTTTTTGCACTTCTGGTTAGATACCTAACTGCATTTAGTTGTCTTAGGTGAATCTAATCTAATCTAATTTAATGACATTAGGGCCACTGCTCACGACAGGATTTGTTACATTTTATTTCCATGTTAATTTAAAAAATAATACTGAAACAGTTATTACAAAATAGTTTGGAATATCTGTGTTTGAGTTCCCTCTTGTGTCAGGACAGGCTGTACATATTTAGTTCCACTGCTGAGGTCTAAGAACAGACTGTCAGCAGCACTTCCTGTGGTTGATGTCACAAACACTACAGCCCATAGGGGCTGCTGACTCTGACAAGGTGTGCATGTGCTTTAGCCTTTCAGTCTGGTTACTCCCTGGGATTCCATGCATCATTTTATTCTTCCTCCAGTGGGTACACTGGAAGATGTTTTTTAAATGCTGACACAAATTTAACTGTTGAGTGACGTTAAAAGCATGAGCAACACTGGAGAAAATGTCTCCTGTTCCCCAAAGATTTGGAGCAGACTTATATCAAAGCATTCTTCCTCAATATTAGAAAGTGTGTCCATGTGTGGGTGTGTTTGTGTTTGTATGTACACATGTGTGCTTGCGTGTGTGCATATACACTCCTGTTTGGGATGAAGTAAAAAAAAACCTGCCTGCACTTCAGCTTCCATAAAAGGAAGCACAAGGAGTTTGGCGCAAACTAAATAAACTGCACATTCACGTCCAGCTCCAGCTTCACTAACGTTCCGTGTTACTTAAATGACTGCTCTGCTTATGTTCTGCAGCCCCAAAAAGAGTTGGTACTTGTGGGTATTCAAGGCAAGTTAAAGGACTTAGTGAGGCCAAATACTTTGCTTCTTATATATATATGTATATATATATATATATATATATTGTATATATATGTATATATAGATATATATATATACAGCACACTCCATCACCAAAAGACACAGGCTGAAGTTTTGTATAGCATAGGGCAGTGTTTCTCAGACCTTTTATATTGCATACCACTTCAGAAAATGTTAGGTTCTCCAATACCACCATTAGGACCAATTTTAAAATAAAGGGGACACACCTCTCACACCACCAGGTAAGATCTTACTGATTACATATAAGGGACTTCATGACCTTGCCCCCAGTTACATTTCAGATTGCCTTGTTCCTCATTCCACTCCTCGGCCACTTAGCTCCTCAAATCTAGGCCTTTTATCCATTCCCCCCTCTAACTGCAAAACTGAAGGTGACCGTGCCTTTGCTGTTTTAGCCCCAACATTGGTGAATAGTCTTTCCAAATCACTCAGATTCACTGAATCTGTTGACTGTTTTAAGTGGCTCCTCAAAACGCCACCTCTACAGGCAAGCCTTTTTATAGATCTCCTTGTTTGTTTTCTCATCTGTCATCCCCCTTTTAATTTATCCTTCCCTCTTGTTTTATTTTCCTAATGTTTGTATTTACATGTTCCCTATGTATGTTTGATTAGGTATGGTTATACCCATTTGTATATTTGTTGTTTGTAAAGCACTTTGGACCTATTTCTCAAAAAGGTGCGATATAAATAAAGCTTTACTTACTTACTTACTTACTTACTTACTTACTTACTTACTTACTTACTTACTTACACTGGAAACGTCTATATATAATTATATACACCTGGCACTGATAGCCCAACCCAGCAGTGTTGTTTTAATGATTTATTACTACTACTATCATTTTTATATCTGAATTGTATGTGTGTGCGGTCCTTGTTTCCAATTCCTATCAACTATATTGAAATGACAATATAGTATTGAATTGACCTGTCTCTCAGGGACCCTGAGGCAAGCAGGAAAAATGGTTTTGAAACAGATATATTGTACATATATTTTTAAATATTCTTTCATATTTTAAGTGTTCCTTGACATTTGATTTATTCAAGCTTTAATGCCTTTAATGGATAGTGACAGCTGAAGGTAGACAGAAAAGAGGCAAGAGATAGGGTGGCTGTGGCTCAGAGGCAGAGCGGGTGGTTCCTTAATCGGAAGGTTGTGGTTTCGATTCCCGGCTCCTGGTGCCACATGTCTAAGTATCCTTGAGCAAGATACTGAATCCCAAGTTGCTCCCAATGCCGTGCATATGTGTATGAATGAGTTAGTTTCTGTTCGATGGACTTTGCCATCACTGAGTGAATGTGTGTGAAAGGGTGAATGTGGCACGTAGTGTAAAAGTGCTTTGAGTGGTCGGAAGACTAGAAAGGTGCTATACAAGTACTGGTCCATTTAACATAGGGGATGACATGCAGAAGGAAGAATTTAACTGGGCTGCTGTGGTAAGGACTCACACACTGTGCTCGGTGAGCTACTGGGGAACACCTATGTTTGTTGGCTTTTGCAGCAGGTTAAGTTAACCTCTGTCATGTGAGTTTGCACATAATCTCATTACTTTTTATTATGTAGTTTTAATAAATGCCTGTCATAGTCAGTCTTGAGCTCCAGCATCTCTTTGGTGCATAGCTTAAGTTTGTTTGTTTGTTTGTTTGTTTCATTTATTGTCCACAACGTGGAAATTTGTCTTTGGTCTCATAAAAACAACAAGCAACAATAACACTTACACTCAAACATCTTCAGGGCAAAAAGCAGGACAGCAATGGCAGTTACATTAAAAACGCATCAACGGGACATGGTGTTCAGTTCTCCCGTTTGCTATTTTGACAGCTTTTTTCCGAAGCACATCCTGATACACACAACTTAATTGTTTCTGTCTTATACCTATGATTTTTGAGGCTATGTTTACTATTCTCTGCAGCTTGCTTCTTCCTTTTATGTTTAGATTACCGTACCACATTGCCATGTTAAAAGTTAGGATGCCCTCTATCAGGTTCTTATAAACTGTTTCCATAATATGCTTGCTCACTCTAAAGGAGTTGAGCTTGCGTAGTAAGTGGAGACGCTGATTACAGGTTTTAAAAAGGTGTTTTCACTTAAATTTAGGTTGCAATCAATATATGTACCTAAATATTTGAACTTGTTTACTACCTCTACAATTTGTCCCTTAATTATAAGGGGCTGCACAGGGTCCTTTTCATGAAAGACAAGTTCCTGTGTTTTTGTTACATTGAAGTCTGTATATATATTTCAGTTCGATGTCCCTGTGTGCGGTTCTGTTTCTGTGTGGTGTCCTTTAGAGATGGCTTGTTGAGTGTTTTCCTTATTTTTATTTTTTTATATACTTTATTAATCCCCTATTGGAGAAACTGTTCTTTTCACTATTTTTTATTTTATATATATACACACACACACACACACACACACACACACACACACACACACACACACACACACACACACACACACACTTCATGCACTTGTGGACATGCAAACAGGGAGAGAGATGGTGGAGTGATGGGCTTGCCACGTTGGCGGTGCCCATGAGCAGTTTCTTGGGGTTAGGATGCCTTGCTCAAGGGCACCTCGGGAGTGCACAGGAGGTGAAACTGGTACCTCTCCAGCTACCAGTCCACACTCCATATTGTGGTCTGTGGGACTTGAACCGGCGACCCTCCGGTTCCCATGCCAAGTCCTTACACACTTAGCACATAGAACATAGGAGTGTTGAAAACAGCCAAAGTACCATTTTATCAGTAGCCTGCAGGTTTTTAATGCATATGTACTGCTGCAATGACTGGAAGTTTTGTTGTATACTTGCTCAAGTTTAATATTTGGTATTTATTGTTTCATTTGTTTTATTGAACTTTTGCCTGTTTATCTAACAACCTTTTGATATTTTATTTGATAAGATAAAATGTTCCTTTATTGATCCCCCATTGGAGAAATTCAAGTTTGACACAGCAGCACAGGGATTTTGTAAAAATACAATAAAAGAATAATAAAACAAAAGAATATATAGACATTTCAAGTGATTGAAACATAGAAAGATTCAAATTTACCATTACACTAGTTGTCATTTTCTGCCAGTAAATGCCCTAAATGACAGTATTTTCATTAAAATTTTGGGAGAAAGGTTGTCAGTAGTTAATAGAATAAAACTGAAATGTTCATTTCACTCAAAACACCTACATATAAATAGTAAAACCAGAGAAACTCATCGTTTTCAAGTGGCCTCTTTATTTTTTTCCACAACTGTACAGTATATGAATTGTATAGTGCAGTCATATTTGTAAGTTTTAGTTTCTTTAATGAAATATAAAGCTAATGAGTCACTTTATGTTTTTAGATAATGCAGTGTCAAACAATGCACTACTACAATGTTGACTTTCTCTTTTTAGAGATGAAGTGATGGCTGTGTCCCTCCCAGATGTGCTGATGTTTGCCAGCACTGCCACCAGCGGGAATAACAACCCATCCAAGTATAGAGTTTTTAAATGATTCGCCGTTTCCAATGGCAACCACATGTTCAAACTCCCAAGCTCCCACTACTCTACTCCTACAGTACCAAAATGCGCCAGGCTTTGGGTGTTTTTAGTTGCCAAAGGGACTTTCATGCATAATCACTTTTATTAAAAGTGATTTGAGCTGTGGCTTGATTTAGGCTCTGTTTTATTTATTTTTTCTCTACTCTCTGGTCAGTATAATGCCTTACAAGGCCATGTCTGCTTGTTTGCATCAGTTACTGTACTGCCTCTCTTGTTAAAAGGCCATTTGGGACGTGTCATGTATTAAAGTAATTGTTCACCAGTGTGAGTGCTTCTGTACATTGTTCAAATCTGTGCAGTTAGCTACTTGCATAGCTACTTGGATATCTTACTCATAAAAATCTCAGAGCGGTGTCCTGATTTTTGTTCATTGTTATTGCTGTTTCCTGTTTCTTACAGCTCTACATATGTTTCAAAAACCAATGTAACATCATAACAAATGTTTTTTGTAAGTAATTGTTGTTTACATGAACATTGAATCAGAAAATAAATAATAATAAACTTTAAGTGCAATATGTCTCCATTTCAGTCCCACAGTTCAAGTTGCCAAATCTGAAAATTCAAAAGAACCACTTTTGGGATATTATCCTGTAATTTATCTCTTGAAGCAATTTGTAAATGTTGGATCACATTTATGAATGGGAAGTGTTTTTCAAAACTCAGGCATGTATAGTCCACCAGTCATTTACTGATAAGCATTAAGATGCATTAAAGCAAAACACTAAATAAGGAAAATATTGTCTTAATACATCCAGGTTAATGTGGGATACCTAAGAAAGGTAGAAACAGGGGTTCCAATAGTCCATATCTATAGCCAAGCTATTTCCTTCAGAGTGATGTACAGTTCTGAGGCTGTCTTTCAGTCTTGTGGCTGTTGTAGTCCGTGTTGTTCCACTGCCTGCTGTAGGTATTCCTCGATGTCTGGATCACTGCTTAAATCAATCACTTGCCTTGCCTCAGGAAACACATCCAGTTCCCTGTCTTCAACAATAAATCCACAGTCCCTTGAACCAAATCTGCAAAATTAGATGATACAATGATATAAAGGACAAGGTTTGAAATGGTCATTGTTAGATTTGTTTGCTTATTGATATACAGATGTTTATAAACAATGGCATTTAAATTCAACAATGGATTATACCAACATGTACAATTGTCCAAATATATCCCAGTTTAGGCTATACCACAACACCTTGCATTTTTTGTAATGTATATTATCATTACTAACTGTGAGGCAAGAGATACAGTTCATTCGGAATCCCTCCTGGACCTGATGCATGTCTGCTTGGTCGAATCCGGTGCTTGTTCCATAGCTCCATACATTCATCCAGGTCTTGCTGCAGAACATTACTGAAGCAAAATCTCAGTAAGCACTGGTGTTCGTGGCTGCCATTGAAGAGTCCAGAGTCTCTTAGTCTCTTAACAAGTCCATCCAAAACTGAGACCTGGGGATGCATTATAATAAATAATAATACATTGTTATTTATAATGCACTTTTACAAGTGCTCAAAGAGGCTTACATACAAATAAAACCGTTTAAATGTGGATACATGAGTTAAACAAGAACACTAATAATAATCACAATGACAAATACGGAGATTTTAATAATAAACACTGATCAGTGTCATAGAGACAAAGGTGATCACTATACAGCTTCCACTGTACTTTTCATCCATCAAACAACACAGATGTACCAGCCTCCCTCTTCTGAAAAAAATCACCATGACTCGATGCGCTGATTCGATGTTGATGAGCCGTAAATGTGGTTAGACGAGCCTGCATAGTGGTCCGTATGCGCGTGACAGAGGGAACATTGTATTGCTGCCGTGGTCCCATTTTCTGTTCCGAGGTCAATTCTCAATCTCATTGGAACCACACCAATACTCTTGGCACAATTAATATGATTGTGAGCGATGACAGATGGATTATTGTTCGTTGGTTCACAAACAAGCCACATTATTTTTCTCGAAAAGCCATCGTCCTCATCCTGAGAGTGCCAGGCCAAATGGTTTCAGTTTATCATATCCATCTACATGCCATTTGTAGTTTGGACCCATGGAGTGATACGTGCGTCTTGTAAACCTACTGCGTGTTCTCAAAGCTGTCCCTCGTGGATTCAGCTGTTTCAGTAGCCTCATTACGTCATCACGTTTAACGTGAAGCCTGTGCTTTTGTTGGAGAACTTGTCACATAGTCCGATAACCGAAGAGTGTCCCTGGTTCTTCCAACTCTGGCAAAATGGCACGCCTCACCTCAGGGAGTGGGGAATAGTTGCGTCTTCTGTACAGCCCTTCTTCTTTTAAACGCGTCTTCAGCGTATGCAGACTCATGTTTACGTTGTGAAATGTCGACAGCATATCCAGTATCATGTCATATTCATGTCCTGCATCAAAGTATTGCTTAATAGCAGCGCGTACCTCGTCATTTGTGGCACTCATGATTTGGAAACATGGAAACAAACCCCGTCTTTCCGGTTCAGAGGATGGACCAGTTGTCTTTCCGGTTCAAAGGACAGACCACTTCTTTTGTCCAATCAGCAACGATTCATGTCGCCCGAGGGTACCTACCTTTTCCGGTTTGGTTGATGTTGTTGTGTTTTCTGATTTGCCTTGTGTTTTCTGTTTTTGTGTTGTGTTTTCTCTTTTGTCGTTGTGTTTTCTGATTTGCCGTTGTTTAGTAATTTGTTGTTGTGTTCAGTAATTTGGCGTTGTGTTTTCTCTTTTTGTGTTGTGTTTTCTCTTTTTGTGTTGTGTTTTCTCTTTTTGTGTTGTGTTTTCTCTTTTGCCGTTGTGTTTTCTGTTTTGTTGTTGTGTTTTCTGATTTGCCGTTGTGTTTTCTCTTTTTGTGTTGTGTTTTCTCTTTTGCCGTTGTGTTTTATGTTTTGTTGTTGTGTTTTCTCTTTTTGTGTTGTTTTCTGTTTTGCCGTTGTGTTTTCTGTTTTGCTGGTGTGTTTTCTGATTTGCCGTTGTTTTCTGATTTGCCATTGTGTTTTCTCTTTTGTTGTTGTGTTTTCTGATTTGCTGTTGTGATTTGCACCTCAGGGCCACCGTAGCTCCCCTTTCATCCTCTTCTCAGTCGAACCTGTTTAGCTCATTGGCACGTCCCTCTCTACCCTGCACTGAACCTACTGACCTTTTCAAATCAGTAATGCTCCTCATTCCATCCACACCTCTCTTGTGTTGTTCTGCAGCAGCTTCGTCTCTATCCAGTTCTTGATATTTTACTGAATTTTACAATTTCAAATTTTTTACTGACTTTTTAATGTGGTTATAAATTGGAAAAACTATTACTTTGATTAAACTTGTATAAATTGAAAAGATTGAGGTAGTTAGCTTAGTTTATCCCACTGAAAGCACATTGAAGTGTGGAGCAACTGCAGGTTTAGCTCCGTTAAAAATGAAAAAAAATTCATTTACTCCAAATTTCACATTTACATGCAAATACATCATCTCAGCAGTCTCTGACACATAGGATTCTGGGTTCAAACACATACTAACTTGTTAGCTAACAGAAAATAAGACTTTTAACATAACAGTACATTTTCTTTCAACCTGTGTGATAACTCAATAATGCATAGCACAGTCTTCCTTGTTTGAATTTCAACTGTGGCCTTCTCTGTCCATTTACATTCATATTAAAGACAGTTTTAAATGGCTCACCCATTGCTCTTTCTTCAGCTGCCTTATCAGGACCAAATAATTCTGAAGTCAGTGTACCGAGGCTGAGTCCTTGCTGCAACGGCCCAGGGTTCGAATCCGACCTTTGCTGCGTGTCATCCCCTCTCTCTACCCCCTTACCTGTCTATCTTTGGCTGTCCCTATCTAATAAAGGCAATAAAAAGGCCAAAACTTCAACAGCTGAATGAATGCATGATTCTGGCCACCTGACCAATAAAAGTTCAACATTCTTTTTTAGCATAACTTAATTCCCTCTGTAAAATGTTTCACTTTGTTACAGTGATGTACAGGTTTGCCCTAGAATATTGTGACACCACTGTTGGGTGTGGTTACTGATAAAATAAAGCACATTTCTGACAATGTGAAATATGGCTTAAGGTTGCTGATTCGAACTATGGCACCAACACGAGGGAGTGTTCCAGCAGTGAACTGGGACTGAAGGGTGGCTGGTCTCTAGTGTAGTACTCTTGAGTAAGGCACTGGAACCCTAAAACTGCTCCAGGGTCACTTCACTGCACTTCCCTGCGCTCTGTCCTCTTTGATGTAATGTATTTTTGTGGGCACAACTAGGAGGGATACATGAAAAGACAAATTTCAATTGCCTTTTGTGAAATGACAAAGTAATTCTAACCTTCTCCACCAACAACTGACTTCATATCCGGTTCTTTAGCTAAAAGTTCCACTTTTTTGCCAACAAGTGGCCAAGTGTCTGTTTAATGATTGACACGTATTGCACAGTGGGTTTATCAGAGCTTTTTAGCTGCCTAAAAAAATCATACCTAATGGGATATAAGCGACAAAGCTTTAGTTAATTGCTATGTACAAATGTATACATTATATCATGTCCATTAAAGCATATATATAAAAACACAGATTGGATCTGTTTTTCAATCGAAGGAAATACCTGCACATTACCCTGACAAACTGAGCTATCTGTCTAACCCTATCTGCCATGTGTACATTTGGGAGTTTGTATTCCTGTAAGCTGTTACTAGGTTGTGAGAAGACTGCAGAGCACAGGTTGGGCCCAGAGGTAAACTTGACCGATCAGGGCAGAAAAAGAAATTCAAGTCTTAGAAGTGTTTACTTTACCTTCATGGACATTCAAAAGTGATGCTTCTCTGTCCCACTACTGGTGGGACTGACCTCCATGGGACCCTAAGCAAAATTCTGCTAAGGAGCACTCCTACCTGACCTGTGAGCCATGTAAACTATTTGCCTCTGCCGCACAGTCAAAGAGTTTACTCCATCAATCTGTCAAAGATTCAGTACACTTACATAAGGCAGAATGAGATATAACCGATAATTATTTATTGAATAGAATATTTTCAATCGAATTTTTAGATGTGAGTCTTTTTATTAAAAAAATGTGCTTTGGTTGTACAATGTAAACATAAGTCTATAGGCTATGGCTCCAAGTTTAATTCTCAAAATAGCTGGATTCAATTGGATTTATTTTATATAAAATACTATTTATACTATGGCTTGGCTGAATACTTGAAGTAATTTACTTAGAGATGCCAAATTGCCCAGTAGCCTAGCTAATCAACATTTTAAATTCAATATGTAATCCATTTACCATGAATTTTAGTATGTAAAAAGTAAACAGTTGGCCACAATGTAACCTGAACCTTTTCAACTGTGCCCGAAGTTGAACAGGTTCAGGTTACATTCCGCTGTGAAGATCACATTCTTTGATTTCTCCAGTGCTTTCAACACCATTCAGCCTCTGCTAATGAGAAGCTGCGGGTGGTGGGTGTTGACAACACTATGATCTCCTGGATTATTGACTACTTGAAAGGAAGGCCACAGTTTGTCCGTCTGGGCAGTGTCCTGTCTGATGTGGTGGTCAGTGATACAGGAGCTCCACAGGGAACTGTACTTTCTCCCTTCCTCTTCACCTTATACACCACTGACTTTCAGTACAACTCTGAGTCATGTCACCTGCAGAAGTTTTCTGACGACTCAGCTGTTGTCGGGTGTATAAGAGGGGGAGATGAGGGTGAGACCAGGACACTGGTAGACAACTTTGTAGAGTTGTCCGAACAGAATCACCTGAGGCTGAATGTCAACAAGACCAGAGAGATGGTGATCGACTTCAGTAGGAAGAAGAGGATGCCTTCACAGCCACTACGGATCAGGGAGGAGGTGGTGGAGGACTACAAATACTTGGGAGTGGTGATCGGTAATAGACTGGACTGGAAATCTAACACTGAGGCTGTGTACAAGAAGGGGATGAGCAGACTCTATTTCCTGAGGAAGCTGAGATCCTTCAACGTGTGCAGCAAGATGTTGGAGATCTTCTACCAGTCTGTTGTTGCCAGCGACATTTTCTTTGCTGCTGTGTGGTGGGGCAGCAGCATCAATGCCAGCGACACCAACACACTTGATAAAATCATCAAGAAGGCTGATTGTACTTGGTCTCAGGCTGGAGCCTTTTGAGTCCGTGGTGGAGAGGAGAACGCTGAATCCATCATAGACAATGATCAGCACCCTCTCCATCAGTGGTCGGACAGCGGAGCACCTTCTCTCACAGGCTGCTCCAGCTCCGCTGTCGAAGCGACAGATACAGGAAATCTTTCCTGCGACATGCCATCACACTGTACAATAACAGCTAAAACTCTGGTCATAACAATACAGTCTCCAAGCACCTTATATGTTTTATCTGTTCACTGCACCTTATATTTTTACTTTGCAATACAATTATACCGCTTATTTATACATTTTATTTAAAAAAATTATATTGCTTTTTTGCTATGTCTAGTGTTGAGGAATCTCTGTATTTCAAAAACTCATTCCTCGCGCGTTCGTTTAATGAAGCAATAGGAGAAGATTTAGTTTAGTTTAGTTACTCAATAATCAGCTTTATTCTTAACACCAGTATATTGTACAAAAGTAACAGAGCTCTGGGTTCAACTACGATTAACCTGACATGCACAAGGTCTGCCAGTTCACGAAGTCTGAGTAACCTCTTGTTCCTAACATCAGTTCTTATATTTTTGAAGATAACACACATAGCATAGGATGGTATAATCTCCACCCCTTGTCTTCTTGGTATCTTGTCTCCACGGATGGTGTTGATGGGGTCGCCACAAACTGGAACTCATGGAAGGGGAAACCGGCCTCTTTTTCTGACATTCAATGACATGTTATCTAAACCTATGCACATATTATTTAAACCTATGTATACACTTCGCACTCTCTCTTCCAGATATGGAGTTGTTTTTCACAACTGGAAGGAGTCCGTCATGTGTTCTATCATTGTTTTACGAGCTCCTGACGCTGACCCCGGAGGCCGTGTTCCCCGCTATCTCTCCCAAAGAATGTCATGTTATATCTGCAACTACCCACACTCTTCTCCCTTATACTGTGCCTGCTATTCATATTCATTAGTAAGTTTCAATTCTATAACACATCATACAAACATCTAATATTCATTACTTTATTTCTGTTATTAGTATTCCCTCATCTAATATTCATTACTTTATTTCTGTTATTAGTATTCCCTTAACAGCCCTTTATCAATGTAAGCATAATCAATGTAAGCACAAGTAAACATATTTCTATTCTAGTTAATAATCATACAGGTAAATATATAGAGTATAAATCATAGAATATCGCATCTATCTATCTATCTATCTATCTATCTATCTATCTATCTATCTATCTATCTATCTATCTATCTATCTATCTATCTATCTATCTATCTATCTATCTATCTAAATGGGACAACTATGCCACCTGCTGTTGTAAATTTGAACCAGCATTGTGTCATTTGAAGAAATTAGGCAGCAGGTAATAATAGATAAAAAAAATAAAAAATTCAAATACATTCAACCCAGAAACCTTTTTAGAACAAGCCCATTAATGTCCTTATTAAAGCCTCAAAATCTAAAAAAAAACTAAAATGGTGTCTAAGGATAGCTTAAGCAAATTTGTATCAGAGTTATACAATTTATTACTGTCAAATTAACCTGAGAATTCTGATTACCAATGGCATGCATGGAGGGAAGACCTAGAAACAGATATATCAGTAGAGGAGTGGGAACCAGTACATACAAAGGCCCACATTCAATCATTACAATAAGATTGTTACAGTATAAATGCCTAATGAGAACATATATATTATTCCAGTTAATTAAATCAATTTAATAGCAATATTCCAGATTTATGTACTTTTGTTTGACAATGCAGTAAGATAAAGTCTTTTTGGGAAGAGGTTAAAAAACCTATAGAAGATGTCTCAAAATACATTCCAGTAGACCCTGTTGATGGTGCTGGTGTGTTTTAGCCTTGACAGACCTTGCTTCTTTCATTGCTCACCTTAATCTGGCAGTATCAGAGTCTATTAACAAAGTCAGATATGTGTGGCATATTTGTTTAAAACAGAACCCACTTGCGTCTTTGTCAACAAGCCCACCAGTATTAGAGAAAGGTATTTCCACCTAATCATTATATGCCAGCCCACAGTAGCATATAATGAAGTGCATCACTTTTTTCCTATTTCCTTATTTCTTATTTCAATTCAATTACATTTCAGTTGATTTAGAGGAGAAGCAACTTCC